TTTTTTTTTTTTTTTTTTTTTTTTGGTTTTCTCTCTTACTCCTTTCACAATGTTCATTACTGAAACTACCGGTCGTACATTACTTTTCTTTTATGCTCTTGATCTGGTACAAATAATCGGTTATAGTAAAACCAGGTATACCAAGATCGTCAATAATTCTCTGCAATGCCTTGTTCTTCTCGTAACAGTTATAATAATGCCTGTGATAAGGGTTCCAGAGGCATGGGTATTGCTTGTACGCTTTCAAGAAGCTGATCACTAGCCTCTCATTCCATTCGGACGGCATTTTTTTGTAATACGATTTTGTAAAACGGTATTTCAATGCAAATATCTCTGTAGAAATAGTATTTGTGACTTTTTGTACGTTTATAATTTTACACGCTTGTATCCGCACGAGATGAAATCAGTTTCGGTTAGAGAACCCGACTGAACTTGATCGCGCGATACATCGAACGGAAGCATTTGTCAAATTGCTCTGTCTGTTTTATTTTGTTAAACTTTACTCAACTGCAATTCTACGCATTGGCACTAGAGCCACTGCTTTATTATATTTTCGACAAAATCTTTTCCTAAGCACTGAACGAACACAGAACGAATTCGTGAGAGTTATTGTTTATTGCTTGCAATCAGAATCGCAGGGTGAATCCGCTTTGATCATGATAACCGGAAGGCCGCAGCTGCAAATCAATTCCTCGCGCAAAATCGCACATTCGCTGCATTTGGACGACGTACAATCCAGCGAATATTTCAGTTTCATGTGGTCTAAACGTTCTTGCGCAATCAGGTCTTGTATACGTTTCTCCAACTTGATAGCAACTTCTGAAGACAAATAATTTAATCTTAACAATTACATTTGAAATATACTGCGCGGTATTAGATATTCACCGAAATTTATATTCCGCAATTGAAACGCGATACTCCTTCCAAACATATCAAACTCGTCAGCAGCTTTCCTTTTCCCTTTAACATTTCCTTCTGGCAAAACACAATCTGTGCAACTAGCGTCTGCCTCCACCTAAAAATTATTTCCTTATTTACAATTATGTACAGTTCTACTTTCGATAAACTTCACGTTCTTGGTATGCTGTATTAAGGACAAGAATTTATTTACCAGATCATTTCTCATCAAGCTGCGAGATAACTCATTCTCCATGCACGCTTGACAAGCTGCACACGCGGCTTTCAAATGAGAGATTTCAGATTGCGTTGCCTGCTCGACACTGATGCCTCTCTTAGTATTGCTCCCAACATCGACCTGAAGTACTTTCTGAGGATGAGTATAACTTCTGCAACCTAGCGTGGTACTTTGCAAAGTAGCGACTCCCTCATCTTCTGCCCGAGTGGAAGACAATCTTTCTGACTTCCTAGATGAGCAACGTTTCAATATATCTTATCAATTACCAGTACCGTAGTAAATAAAATGAATTACCTAAGACGAGATTCAACTATGCTTGAGTCATCGCAATAACAAGTTGCGTACAGGCAATTGCAGTTTGTGCTTAGTACTCTCGGTTCCTCCAAGTCCAAACGTGTCGATTGATCCTGATGCGTTTCGTTGTAGACATAATTTTCATACGTGTCTCTCTTGTCGCCATACGACTACAATCAAATTAATATTAATAAAGTAATTGAAACTGTTGCCAGAACAGTAAATGAGTGAAGATTGCTACACACTTTGTGGCAATCACTTGCACAATTATAAATTGGTACAAACGGGAAGAACAGTTCATGAACTATTGGAAACCAGCTTATCGTTGGTCTGTAAAACTTCTCGCAAGAAATTGCAGCACTGATCTTAGACAGCTCGTAACAATATTGGGCTTTCACAGAGGTAACCCTTTTGATACAATCGTAAATCGTTAAGCCACAAGCATTCATGGAGTTCACAATTTGTTTGTAAGCCTTGTAACGACACAGCTTGTTCTTGTAGTCTGGATGAAATGGATTTCTCAAACACTCATGTTTACTATAAAAGGTGACCAATCTCAATGTTAGACCATCGGTCCATGCAACTGGCATGATAAATTGCTCCGCTCGTTTACAGCATGATCAGGTTATTTAATGCATCCACTCTTGCATGGGCGTCATTATTTACATATAAAAACTTTATATACATGTCTTGAACCTATGCTAAAATTCAAAGCGGGAATTTGTATGCTGAAAGAACGTGATGATTCAATTACGTTCGGATTACACATTATACATACATAAGGTTCAAAAAAAATTACTAGGATTTAGAAAAATATACATGAAAAAAAAAAAAATGAAAGAGTACATGACATATGTTCAATCGATAGTTTGTTTAACTATTGATTTTTATGTACATAATGAAATAATAATATAAATAGTTCGTAACATGAGTAACGAATAATACAATAATACAAAGATCAGAAAATTTATTCAGCCACGTTTGTTGTTAAAAGCATCATTATAACAAGATATTACTGATTACTGATTAAATTATTTTAAATTACTTCTGTGTGTGAATACGAATTTTTAACCATAAATTCGATACATTTACGTTCTCTGTTGCAGACTAGAACCAACAGCGTATGTAACAAAATCTGACACTTTGAAGCTTTTTATTGGAGGAC